CTTCTCCCAAGTGCAGGAGTGTCGAAGTAATAAATAACCCGGCAAGACCGGGGTCGAACCACAGAGAGGTTAATTGTATAAATTATAGACAACAATTATAAACAACAACAATAGTAACGATAACAATAACAATAATAATAGTAACAATAATAATACTAATAATAATAGAAGTAGTAGTAATAATAATAGTAATAATAATAACAACAACAACAACATAATAATAATAATAAAAAAGAAGAAGAAGAAGAAGAAAATGAGAATTTTGAGATGGAATATTAATGTAAGAATTAAACAATGAGAATAACAAATGTCAAGGTTAGAGGATCCACTAATGGTATGTCAAACAAGTATAGTATAAACTCTTATTATTCAATTGGAAACCACACACAAAAAAGGTTCCAATCAGATTATATATTGTTAACATGATTACATTAGTCATCTTATTCAATTAATGCGAATACTTGTAAATCTCGTCAAGCATTCATGATTATAACTTATGTTAACAACAAATCAAGTTCCTTTCATAACTCAGGTGTCGGTTATACCATATAGTATGAACTATGAAAGTGCCAAGTATTTGTTGTACCAAGTGTTATACAACATAAATCAAGATTAGTCATTTAACAAGCAAAGTATTAAAGAGTGAACAAGATAACAAATACAAAACATGTTAGTATCAAACATTAAAGTCCATATTAAGTTTACACTATACTTATTCTTACACCATTAGTGTAACCTTTTCACCTTAACATAATAAACTTAGCTAGACATAATGAAAGAAAGAAAAATAAATAAACAAAATAAAAACATAAATAAGATAAAAGTTAGCTAAGTAAATGAAAGGAAATGAAAGGCATAAACTTGATATTAATGAAAGAAAAGCATAAACATTAGAAAAAATACAAAGAGAGAAAGCAAGAGCATGATCTTGATCTGAAAACCAAGATACCTAAATGCATGGAAAATGCCTCCTTTTATAGGTCAAAATTGGGAACTATTGATTTGATGACTAATTGATGAGTGGGTGACCAACTCTTGACTTGGTGACAATCCTTATCTTCTCTTGTCTACCCAAAACGACATTGATAACGTCAAAATTAGAGCCACTTGAAAACATGAAAGTTGTAGGAAATTGTCTCCGTTTTCTTGTGTAAAACATTCAGCTCATTTTGACTTCTAAAACTCCAGATATGGCCAAAATACTAAACAGTGCTCGGGCTGGAGGACAGATTCAGGCTTCTTTATTGTTGCTATAATTTGGACTTGAAAATGGCCTTTTTAGATCTTGGGCTCCATATGAAAGTTGTAGGCCTATGTCTTACCTTTCCATCCATATAAAGTAGACCTAAAATCTGAGATCTATAGCTCCAGATATGACCCAATTACCGAACAGTGTTCCGGTTTGGATTGCACCGACATCTCTTTTCTAAGTTTGGCCATTTCTTTATCCTTTCATTTATGTGATAGGCCTGCATTTAAAATGAACATTTACCACAAATTAAAGGTATCTTATATTATTTGATATATTATTATAAACATGCTTTAGTTAAGGAGTTATTGATACTTCAAGTGCAAAATGATGATATAAAACCTTGATAAAAATACACTTTTAAGTACTAATTAATACAATAAAGAAAACTTAAAAAAAAAAAAAGTTTTAGCATGTATTTTGACTTTAATAACCAGTTTATTGAAGTCATGAGAAGTTGGCCAATATTTCAAAAAAATCCAAAAAATTATTTTGTTTTTTTTTTTTTATATTAGGGATTATGAATTTACACATAAAATGTATTCCTGATATTAAAAACAATAGTTCTTTTATAGACATTAGAACAATTAGGCTTTATCCGATAAGATAAGGACCTCCTTATCGAGGATAACTTTTCTTAAACCGTAGACAGACCAACAAT